ATATAAAATCATTTAAATTGCATCATAGTTAGATATTACTGTACTAAAATTTGTTGGCATTTCGGCACTCATTCCTTTGAACTTTTGAGCTGGTAAATTTACAAATTGTATATAATTACATCTTTAAAGTAGTACTAGGAAGGCTAGGCTCTTCTGACAGAGCAGTAAGACCCCCTTTAACAGGGAATAAATTTGGAGGGTTGGGAAGCGGATGATTTTATTGTACTGCTAGACTAGTTTTTGTGATGTCAGCATCTGACACATCAGTCTTGTAAATGCATTATTTCTCAAAGTGTCTTGTCCAAAAAAACAACTATTCAACTCAATCAATGTGTATCATCAGTACAAAGTCAGTCATAGCAGATGATAGGACAAGTGAAAACGACAATGGAACCCTATTTGCAGGCAGAGGAAATTAAAAAAAAACAGAAACAGAGTTAACCAGTATAGAACTATAAGAAAGAGAATAAATATTTTATTAAGAGCTCTTGATAAAACTTACTCAGGAAAAAGAGCATAGTCTGTAACTTATTGTTTGGTGAAAGCATGGGTTGAAAATTTAAATATGCCCCAAAACTAGAGCTTAACGCTAGATTGGCTTATGGGGATTCTTTTTGTACAGACAAGTTTGCTTGCACGGTTTATATGACCAGAAATGGAATATAAAGGGACTCATATTCAGTCTGATTAGCTTTGGAATAAAATCAGGTATCGCTCTAGATCACATAATATGTTAAAGGACTGATAGTTGGCCATTAACCACAAATATATGAATAATATCCCCATCCAGGCTGAACTGCAGAACTTATGGTTTCGAAGCCTACTCAACCGAATATCAGTTATCCAGTTGATTTCAATGCAAATATAAATTTGCTTCATCGACAATACCAATACAAAGCGCAATGTGGAAGAGGTCTGGCTGGCATTGAAATTCACGCTTGACCTCTAACGTAATGGCAGCCGTGACAATCTGGATTTTTGCTGGCATTTCCTTTTGTTTATAAGTAGGTTTTCGTGACTAACTGTGTGGCATGTATATGAGATGTATTCATGGAAGAAAGGCTATGTGAAATTCAATGGAAACATGAGGCCTATTCATATGATTAGGGGCAACATTCAACTAACAATCCTTCATGACCTTAAACCAAATAAGGTGAATAAATCTCAGTATATGATCTACTGATAGCCTTTCATACTTAATTATACACCACAAAAGGCTATGAAAATGCTATATTGTCACGGGTGAATAAATCTTATATATTTTGCTAGAATGTCCAATTTCTCCGCTTCACACCTCGGGTTCGAGTCCTGCTGTGGGTGCTGATAAGACCAGTTAGGCCGAGACTGAAACGGTAATCCATGATGGATGAAAATGTCTTTTTTGGCAGCAAGGCTGAGCGACATTCCGTGGTACCAATGCGTTCTTTGGTGAATACAGTTCTTATTAAATAAAAGAAACTTCTTATAGCATGGAGCATCGAGTGAATTTGCGTGCCGTCTAGCAATTCGCCACGTACAGTTCCATCAAATTGAAATTCTGATGCTCGGCATTGCAAGAGCTGAAAGAGAAAAAAGAAAATGATACAGCAATTTAGGCAACATACAACAAGGCTATAGTCCCGCAAATTGGCTTTAGTGGTGGTATAAGCCTGGGCTTTAAGGTAAGATCCTTTTAAATTAACAGCCAAAAAGGATTAAAAAGGGAATACTGAAATATTTCCCTTAAGTTTATTGCATATAATGTGACAAAAACGCTGTCCGTCTTCTGGTGAGATCGAACTTCGAATCTCTTCTTCATGCAGTTTCATACGAAATGAAAGTCTCCCTAATAATGTTGTCTCAAGAGATTAATCGAAATTATCTTACTCCTCGTGTTGTTAGTAGCATGCTGTTCAGAAATGCAAATAATCCGTGCTTCAAAGCGATTGGTATGCCCCAGACAATTTAGAGGAAACCAAACATTCTTCTATGTTCACCACAATCTGGCTCGTAGTCAGGCTCTTTGATGCCATAAATAAATAATGGATATTGGAAAAATCCATGGAGAAATCGGCCCTAAAAACATTACCAAATAGGTTCAGTCGAAGATGACGTAGATACAAAGACCAAGATGTTGTGGCCTCTATTTTGGTCGCCGTCTCCTTTCAATGTTGACATGTTGTCTGACCTCATTTCCGCAACATGGCCGTGTTGTCACGGCGACTTAGTTGAACGTACCTTGTCCAAAGTTCCCTGCCATAGTGTTATCATTTGTCCAAGCGTCGAACCGTGGACTTGGTACATTTTCAGACGTTTCGTCGGCATCGTCAGTTTCAGTTTGCTGCTGATGATTGCAAAGACTCACTGACCATGCTGACTACGATGCCGGTGAAACGTCTGCGAATCTACCAAGTCCACGGTCTGAGGCTGGGAATTATGCTAACTGCTATGACAGAGGACTTCGGACAAGATGCGTCCAACAAAGTCGCCCTGACAACACGACCAAATTGCAGAAACGAGGTCAGACCACATCTCTACAGTCGAAGATGGTTCTCGCGTTTTGCAAAGAACAGTTTTCCCACATTTCTGGAAGTCAAAAGATGGTGGCGCTTGAATTGCCGATCATCTGTTTAAGCAACCCTAGTCTCAGAGTATTGAAGCGCTGTGAGTTATCGTTCTCCCTGCGTCTCCCGTGGCATCAAACATCTTCCCTGCCAGATGTCGATCATACATGACAGCCGGACAGGACTCGCCGACTTCGTTTCACTGCTGGGTTGTGTTCAGGAAGCTGTCGTGCCGAGAAAATCCAGAATCAAAGTCAACGGTCGGTGTTTCAAGCAGTGGAATAATCTCATCGACGAAACTTTGAAACCAATGGATGAAGGAAGCAATATCATCTCCTGTCTCCATTTGATGGGGTTGTTCATGTTAAACTTTGGGGAAAAGAGAAAATTGCCCAAAATTGAGACAGCGCTAAAGATTCTGCTTCTTACTCGGGAAGAGGAAAGACAAACAGATCCACCAAGGCCTCTTAACACGCCTTTTCATGCTAGAAAGCAGAAAAACTGTCATTGCAATCATGAATTAAAGTTTGTTCACTCCTTCATTGCGCGATGTTAAAGTAACTGGACATGTAGAGTATACTCAACTACCAGTCCTTCATCATCTCAAGCGAACAAGTGTGAACACATCTAAAAAATATTGCTGTTCATTGTGTTGAATGCGTGTGTATGTGTGTGTTTTTTTATAGCGGATCAGGGGGATCTTATTTTCAACAATCACCAATGTCTTTTGGCATCAAAGAGCCAGAAAATGAATCTCTCTGCGGCGAATTGAAACGAAGGCTTCATCCTCTTTGAAACCGAACTATATTTTGCTATTATTACTTGGACTTTTACCATGTATGAAAGTGTATGAATAAGAGGTAAGCTAGAGCCGGATAGTATTTTTGTCTTAGTGTTGACTTGACAATTTTACAAGAATGCGTTCCAGCTCCGAGGATGTCCATCAAATGATGCACGAGAGCTCAGCCCGTTGTCACCCGAAACGAGGGAGCAGGTCTCGAGGACTGCATCAATCTCAACCTCATGTAAGAGCCAAACGGCTGCAGTACAACGTGCTTCAACCCTCCTCTTCCGGTGAGATTGACCTTCAAATCTCTGCTTCATACACATTCATACCAAATGAATATCCAAGTAATAATGTTATCTCAGGAGATCCATCGAAACCTAGTTACTCGTCATATCTACTAAGAGCCCATCAGTAGTGTATCGCGTTTAGTGGCAAACGTACACAACTGTTGCATCGTTTTGGGGATACCAACAAATCTGGACGTGGTGGTCATCGTGTGGTTAGCTGGGGGCCACGGTCCTATGGCTGATGAACTCCAAAAGTCCAGGGTTCGAGTCCCGCTTAAACCAGTGAGAAAATTCACCACGCCCCTCACACTTCCAAATAAGCATAACAATATTTTTCATGCCTCTCATTTGTTTTTTTGGTAGAAGAGGAGAACAGAAGCCGGCTGGCCGGCATTAACAATTGCCACTCTTTAGGGCTATTGCATAATGCATACAATTGAGTCAAAAATTGACAGCCATTGTAGTGTTGTATGTGGCACCCTTACTTCTCCGTCTTGCATTTTGAGCCAACTACTGACAAAAGTGGGTCTTGTCAGGGTCCTTCTTGTTGTGTTGCATGGCCCTACAAGACCCAGCTTCATCTCTGTTTCCTCTGTCCTCTCTCTCTCTTCTCCCATTCCTTGTTAGCCAAAATGTAATATCCTTTCTCGGGGTGCTCACCCCCTTTCTCGCTGATGGCACCGACCCACTGCGTGGGTGGATCTGGCGATGGACCAGTAGAATCTCGCCTCAGACCTCATCCAAATTTCCCCACCAATTGGCGGCCGATTTGGCTGGCCCAACAGCTCATCGAGGCTCTGTCTGTCTCAATGCTCCGCTCTTGAGTGCAGCTGATGCTCAACAAATGACAATTGTAGCAATAATTAAACATTTATGCAGCGCCAAACCGTTCCGACTTTCGTTTGCTGGCGGACTGCCGGAATTCCAAAGCTGCAGTTGAGAGGTGAGCCGCAGACATCGTTTCCATGCCTTGTTTATGCATTTGCAAGCCCATTCATTTGAGTCCCACAAACAGATCCACAACAGGAGCCATGTTGAAGCACTGAATTACACTTTCACGAAGTAATTATCGGCCAGACTGCGAGTTCTCTGATCTGCTCCACCACCTCATGCCTCTTGCCCTTTCACCAAACCTGGACGCCACCAAAAGCGCCTGAGCTGCAGATCACATGCAGATCACACTCTTCTTCGCTACTCCTCTCGGTTCAGCCCGATTGGAAGACAGGTTTCGGCAAGCCCACGGTTGCCACATCGCGGCTTGCTCTGGTCCCGAGTCAGGGCGCCATTGTGGACCAGTCCGGCCGATAGGTGGTAGGTTGGCACCGGCTGAAGATCTCGTCCCGGATTGGGTTCAGGCGCCAAACATGTGGTCAGTAGTCGTCCCGAATCGGTGGCCACAAATGGGAAAAAGAGACAAGAATTAATCATCTTCGGAGGCTTAGGGAGTCGGATACGTGGCTAGCATGCATTGTATGCAAACAAAGTCTAAACAATTTGCTTTTGTGCATCCATTCGCAAATTTAATCCTCGAGTAAGGCGTGTCGATTGATGAAAAATACCATTTTCATGCCCTGCTTTGCTGATGTACCCGCAGAAATACTCAAAAAATGTATACTTCTGTTGCAATACTTGAAGCAATCAGCACTAATTAGCAGATTAAATATCACCCCAGCAGGACGAATATAAGATTAATTGGTACTTTTGCTTGAAGTATCTTCAAAAAAATTCTACAAGCAGAATCAACCATTTTACATATTGGATTAGTTGCTTAGACGATTTTAAGGCACTTTTTCGAGTTGAGTAAGTATTAAGTAAAATGAGCGAACTATCCAACCTTACTACTTAAATTTCAGGAACAGTAGCATTTTGCTGTATGTCTAATGCGTGTTTGCATTAGCGAAA